TTTATGGCTAGAAACCAAATATGAGTGAGTACATCCCATGTTCCTCTTTTTGGGTCTGGCTTACCTCACTCAGGATAGTGTTTTCTATTTCCATCCATTTGCCTGCAAACTTCAAGAAGTCCTTGTTTTTTACTGCTGAGTAGTACTCTAATATGTATATATTCCATACTTTCTTCATCCATTTTTCAATTGAAGGGCATCTAGGTTGTTTCCAGGTTCTGGCTATTACAAACACTGCTGCTATGAACATAGTAGAGCATATACTTTTGTTGTATGATAAGGCCTCTCTTGGGTATATTCCCAAGAGTGGTATTGCTGGGTCCAGGGGTAAGTTGATTGCGAATTTTCTGAGAAACCGCCACACTGCTTTCCAGAGTTTACCGGAAGATCTTACCCTGCATACATCTTGGAGAGGAGAGCTATGGAGACTGCCTGGAGAGGAGAGGCCTGGTGTCTGGCTCACTGCCTTCTTCCTCCCAGAATTTTGTTCTGTCTACTCCGCCTATCTAAGCTGCTATCCTATAAATGGCCAAGCAGTTTCTTTATTAATTAACCAATGAAAGTAATTAACCAATGAAAGCAACAGATAGATAGTAGACCCACCTACATCATTCTGAGGCTCCAGTTACCCTGATACCAAAACCACACCAAAATGCAATCAAGAAAGAGAATTACAGATGATTTCCACCCATAAACATTGATCCAAAAATACTCAATAAATTACTGTGCACTTCTTTAATTCCAGTACTCTAGAGGCAGAGGCAGATGGATCTCTCTGTGTTTGAGGCCAGCCTGGTCTACATGAGCTAGTTCCAGGACAGGCTACAAAGCTACAGAGAGACCCTGTCTCGGAAAACCTAAACAAACAAAACAAAACAAAACAAAACAAAACAAAAAAAACCCTGGCAAACTGAACCCAAGAACACATAAAAAAATCATCCACTATGATCAAGTCAGTTTCATCGCAGGATGCAGGGATTTTTCAGTGTACAACAATCTATCAATGCAACCCACTAAAAAATAAACTGAAAGATTATCATATGATTATCTCATCAGATGCTGAAAAAGCATTCGAAACCCCTTTATCATAAAGGACTTGGAGAGATCAGGGATACAAGTAACATATCCAACCATAATAAAAGCAATACTCAGTAAGACAACAGCCAACATCAAATTAAATGGAGAGAAAGTCAAAAGGATTACACCAAAATTATTTTTTTTATTGAGAAAAGGAAAAAAAAGTTTCTGCCTCCTCCCAGCCTCCCATTTCCCTCCCCCTTCCCCCACTCCTCTCCCCTCCCCCCACTCCTCTCCCCTTCCCTCTCCAATCCAAAGAGCAGTCAGGGTTCCCAGCCCTGTGAAAAGTCCAAGGTCCTCCCCGCTCCGTCCATGTCTAGGAAGGTGAACATCCAAACTGGCTAGGCTCCCACCAAGCCGGAACATGAAGTAGGACCAAAACCCCATGCCATTGTCCTTGGCTTCTCATCAGTCCTCATTGTTTGCCATGATCAGAGAGTCCGGTTTTATCCCATGCTTTTTCAGTCACAGTCCAGCTGGCCTTGGTGAGCTCCCAATAGATCAGCAAATTATATGCAAATTAATAAGATCACAAATGAAAAGGGGGACATAACCACAGACACAGAGGAAATTCAGAGAATCATTAGATCTTACTACAAAAGCCTGTATGCCACAAAACTGGAAAATGTAAAAGAAATGGACACTTTTTTTTAGATAAATACCATATACCAAAGTTAAACCAGGACCAGGTGGACAATCTAAATAGACCTGTTAGTCGCGAAGAATTAGAAGATGTTATAAAAAAAAACCTCCCTACCAAAAAGAGCCCAGGACCAGATGGTTTCAATGCGGAATTCTACCAGAACTTCCAAGAAGACCTAATACCTATACTCCTTAAGGTATTTCACAATATAGAAACAGAAGAGTTATTACCAAATTCCTATTATGAAACTACAGTTATTCTGATACCAAAACCACACAAAGACTCTACCAGGAAAGCGAATTACAGGCCAATCTCACTCATGAACATTGACGCAAAAATCCTCAACAAAATACTGGTAAACCGAATCCAAGAACACATTAGAAAAATTATCCATTATGATCAAGTAGGCTTCATCTCAGAGATGCAGGGCTGGTTCAACATACGAAAATCTATCAATGTAATCCATCATATAAATAAGCTGAAAGAAAAAAACCATATGATCATTTCATTAGATGCTGAAAAAGCATTTGACAAAATTCAACATCCCTTTATGATAAAAGTCTTGGAGAGACTAGGGATACAAGGGTCATACCTAAATATAATAAAAGCTATATACAGCAAGCCGACAGCTAACATCAAATTAAACGGAGAGAAACTCAAAGCCATCCCACTAAACTCAGGAACACTAAACTCAGAAACCCACTCTCGCCATACCTCTTCAACATAGTGCTTGAAGTTCTAGCAATAGCAATAAGACAACATAAGGGGATCAAGGGGATTTGACTTGGAAAGGAAGAAGTTAAACTTTCGTTATTTGCAGATGATATGATAGTGTACATAAGTGACCCTCAAAACTCCACCAAGAAACTTTTACAGCTGATAAATACCTTTAGTAATGTGGCAGGATACAAGATCAACTCCAAAAAATCAGTCGCCCTCTTATACACAAAGGATATGGAAGCAGAGAGGGAAATCAGAGAAGCTTCACCTTTCACAATAGCCACAAACAGCATAAAATATCTCGGGGTAACTCTAACCAAGGAAGTAAAAGATCTATTTGACAAGAACTTTAAAGCATTGAAGAAAGAAATTGATGAGGATATCAGAAAATGGAAGGACCTCCCTTGCTCTTGGATTGGGAGGATCAACATAGTAAAAATGGCAATTCTACCAAAGGCAATTTATAGATTCAATGCAATTCCCATCAAGGTCCCATCAAAATTCTACACCAAAATTATAAACAAGACAAGGTTATCCAGTTTTTCTATATCTATTCAACATAGTTCTTATTGTTCTAGCTAGAGCAATAAGACAACAAAGAGAGATCAAGTGGATATAAATTGAAAAAAGTCAAACTTTTGCTATTAGCATATTATATTATAGTATACATACATGACCCAAAAACTTTACTGGGGAACTTCTACAGATGAGTAAATTACCTTCAATAATGTTGAAGGATACAAGATCAACTGAAAAAAAGAGTAGCCCCCTATATACAAGCGATAAAGAAGCTGAGAAAGAAATCATAGAAATATCACCCTTCACAAAAGCCAAAAATAACATAAAATATCTTGTGGGTAACACTAACCAAACAAGGGAAAGACCTGTTCAACAAGAACTTTAAAAGTCTGAAGAAAGAAACTGAAGAAGATACCAGAAAATGGAAAGATCTCCCATGCTCTTGTATAGGTAGGATCAACATAATAAAAATGGCAATACTACCAAAAGCAATCTATTGATTCAATGCAATCCCCATCAAAATCTCAAAAGAAATCTTTACAGACCTTGAAAGATTAATAATAAACTTCATATGAAAAAAACAAAAAACCCTGGATAGCCATAACAATCCTGTACAATAAAGAAATTCTAGAGGCATCAACATCCCTGACATCCAGCTCTAATATAGAGCTACAATAATGAAATGGTCTTGTATTGGTATAAATCAGACTGTTTGACCAATGGAATAAAATTGAAGATTTGTATATTCATCCACAGACCTAAAGACACCTAATTTTTAACAAAGAAGTTAAAATTATACAATGGGAAAAAAAGCATCTTCAACAAACCGTGCTGGCATAACTGGATGTCAACATGTAGAAGAATGAAAATAGATTCATATCTATCCTCAAGCACAAAACTCAAGTCCCAATGGTTTATAGACCTCATTATAAATCATACCACACTGAACCAGATAGAAGAAAAGTGGGAAGCAGCTTTTAATGCAAGGGCACAGGAGACCACTTCCTAAATATAATAACATCAGTAGCACAGACACTGAGGGCAACAATAAATAAATCGGACCTCCTAAAACTGAGAAGGCTCTGTAAATCAAAAATCACAGTCAATAAGACAAAACGGATGCCTACGAAATGGGAAAATATCTTCACCAACCCCACATCAGACAGAGGACTGATTTCCAAAATATATACAGAACTCCAAGCAATTAGACATCAAAATACTAAATAATCCAATTAAAAAATGGGGTACTGATTTAAACAAAGAATTTAAATAGAAGAATCTCATATGGCCAAAAGACACTTAGCGGAATGTTCAACATTCTTAGCCATCAGGGAAATGCAAATCAAAACAACTCTGAGATACCATCTTATACCTGTCAGTATGTCTAAGATCAAAAACACCAATGACAGCCTATGCTGGAGAGCATGCAAAGTAAGAGGAACAGTCATTCCTCAGTTGCTCGAGGGAATGCAAACTTTTACAACCACACTGCAAATCAGTATGGAAATTTCACAGAAAATTGGGATTCAACCTACCTTAGAACCCAGTAATACCACTCTTGGGCATATTTCCAAAGGATGATCAATCATACTACATGGGCATTTGTTCAACTATGTTCATAGAAGCATTATTTGTAATAGCTAGAAACTGGAAAAAACCTAGGTGTTCCTCAACCAAAGACTGGATAATGAAAATGTGGTACATTTACACATTGGAATAGTACTCAGGAGCAAAAGAAATTGGCATCTTGGAATTTGCATGCAAATGGATAAAACTAGAAAAACAGTCCTGATTGAGGTAACCCAAACCCAGAAAGATGAGCATGGTATGCATTCACTCATAAGTGGATTATAGGTACAACCAAATCCCATAGTCCATGACCCCAGAGAAGCCAACTAACAAAGAGAATCCTAAGAGAAACATATATAGATCCCTCTGGGAAGGGAAAATAGACTAGATCTCCTGAGAAAATTGGGAGCATTTGGGTGGGAGGAGAAGGGAGGTTAGGAGGGGAGGAGGAGGAGAGAAGGGAATGCTGGAAAGGAACTAGAGGTAACTGGATAGTTGAAATTGGGAAAAGAAAGAGACAGAGAACAAAGAGAGAGATATCTTAATTGTGGGAGCCTTTATGGGGCTAGCAAAAAAAATGCCACTAAAGAAATTCCCTGGTCTTGCCTTGTAGTCTGATAAATGATGATCTCAAATGTCACCAAAGAACCTTTGTCCAGTGACTGATGGAAGAACAGGCACAGATGCACAGCAGAGCACTGGGCTGATCTTCCAAAGTCCAGTTGAAGAGTGAGAAGAGTGAGAATAGGAGCAAAGAGGTCAAGACCATGATGGGCATACCTGCTGAAACAGCTTGGCTGAGCTGAAAGGAGCTCACCCACTCTGGCCAGATAGGCAAGGAACCAGCAGAGGACTGAGTTAGGCCTTATGAATGTGGGTGACATTTGTATGGTTGGGGCCTACTGGGTCACTGGCATTTGGCCAGGATTTATCCTTACTGCTTCTAATGACTTTTTGGAACCCATTCTCTTAGGAGGTATACCTTGCTCATTCTAGATGGAGTATGAAGGACTTGGTCCTTTCTCAAAGCAATATGGCTTACCCTCTGTGAGGAGTTATGGGGTGGAGTACTGGTGGTAACATGGAAAGAATAGGAAGAGGGGAGGGAGGGACAACTGGGATTAGTACATGAAATGAAAAAAAGATAGTTTTTCAATAAAAATTTTAAAAAAGGAGGAAGCTAGTGTGTAAGAGCCAAAGATGATGGAGAATGCCAATACCCCCACACCCTTCCCCACCACACAGCCTTCTAACTCAACTTGATTGAAGGATATTTGAACTAGTAGAAATTGAGGCAGCATACACAGGGCATGCAGTTATGCACCTGATTTAGTACTAGAAATGAAATAAGAAGTGTACTCATGCACGGATCCCTAACCCAGAAGCTATCTCTGATTCATAACCATAACCAGAAAATGAAAATTTAGTTTTTTTCAAGGATTTGTCTCTAAGATAAGAATTTACTCTCAAAAGTGTGCTGCAAGCCAAGTCTCAGAAAATTCAACAGTGAGCTAGGCTATGGTGTCACACACATTTAATCACAGCACTCAGCGGGCAGAGGCAGGTGGATCTCTGTGAATTTGAGGCCAGCCTGGTCTATAAGAGCTTTTTCCAAGACAGGCTCCAAAGCTACATGGAAACCCTGTCTTGAAAAAAACACCCCCCCCCCAAATTTAACAGCATCTTGGCGGTTCTTTGTCTCATTTTGTCAGGTCAGAACTTTACATGCATTATTCCCATTATATCTTATTTACACATTTTAATCATCTTTTCACATGCAAACACACATACACATACACAAACACCATGCACACATATAAAATATTAAAGATTCCAGCTGAGTGTTTTGGAGTTTTCTGTTTTTTGGGCTTTTCTTGGGCTATATGTCTTCTAATTGTTTTTTTTCTATTATTCTGTGGTAGTTTTGTTTTTATCTTACTATACCATAGTATATTTTTTGTTATTATTCTACCTTACAAGCCAGTTTTTCTTATGATGAGAGAAAGAAAGGGATTGTATCTGGATGGGAAAATGATGGGGAAGAGTTGGGCATAGTAGAGATGAGACAAACAAAATTAGGAAATTATGTAAGGAAAATTGTTTTCAATAAAAGGATAAGTAAAAAAAACATATAAATAGACCCCTAGTTTTCTGTAATCTTCATATGTAAACAACCATGTTCATTGGAGGAAGTGTGTGGAGATCCCATGCAAGGGAGTTTCTGATGCAAGGGATCAAATGTAAATATTTGGGAAAAGTTCATTTTCTGCAAAAGATGTGATAGTTTATGTTCATCCCTTGGCAATGCTTCAAAATAATTATTGCTGATAACATGAATCCATTAAATCCTGACTACAGAATCAAACACTGTATATGAAACCAGGAACAAAACAACCAAACTAATAATCTCTGAAGTGGTAGACATTGTCACAGAGAACCAAATACAGGTGAATGAAGTCAACATCAATACATTAAGATAAACTGATGACAGCTTTTCACACAGAGTCACATCATTATTGCTGGGATAGTGATTGCCCAAGGAATAACGCATGGAAACTGTGGTGTGAATACAACAGCATCAATTTTATGCTACACATAAACTACGTATGTCTGCCACATTCCAGATACTCAAGTGAATTCCATATATGTAGTTCTGTTTTCCACAAGACTATGCCATTCCTAAATCTATTTTCTCATAACAGAAAAAGTTATGCTAGGCTATGCATTTCATGTGAATGAACATGCATTTTACATAAACTAAGAAAGCCCCGGGCAGAAGTCATGCCATATATTTGCATTATCTGTCTTTATATGAGGATGTGAGTTGGTCTCTGGAGGATCTGGGCAGCAAGAAATGACAATATTCCTCAGTCACAATGGAATCACCAATGATAAGCATCATCAGTTCATTGAGGATCTATGTCCTGAAAAAAATTGAGCAGGCAAGAAAAAAAAACAAAACAGTGGGAATTTGACACCGTGTAAATAGTATATATTTAAAGACTCAAACATAACTGTCATAATTTAGCACAGACACGCGAATATCAAAAGAAATAAACTCCTTAGGCAAGACTATGAGAAGAAGAGAAAATGTGCAACATAAATATATCAACTTTGTAGAAGAAATTGAACATAGCTGCTGTGCAGAGACATACTTACTATAGAACCAGCCATCTCTTCTGAGCTTCTGTTCCTGGATTCTCTCTAGAGGAGCTACTTTTTAAAAAAGTATCACTAAATACCATTCACCTGCTACACGCACACTCACCATCTGCAGAGCCTCAGAAATCAGGGAGTATTTACTCCTGGCTTGGTTAAACAGATACTCAGGAAAACAAGATAGATTAAAATGCTGAGTTTCTCCCTTGCTGAGTTCAAGTGGTCTGGTCAGTAGTCAAGTTATCCAGTGAGATCATGGGCTGCACTGGCCTGTTGTACTCAACCAAGGCAAAGCAGCAGTGGGGAAAGGGAAGCTAAACTCCAATGGAGATCAAACCCTTATGAAGCTTACCATAACCTCTACCTTGTTTTTCCTGGCAAGGTTCACAAAGATGTCGGGGCTGCTAATTAGATTAACAAATAGAAGCTGTGGAATGAAGCACAAGTGAAAGCAATTTTATTTCAAGATACAGTTGTTTGTGACTTTGAAATTTTGAAAGAACTGCAAGTATTTTTGGCTTCTTTGAATGGAAGCAGTAGAGTTCAAAATGCTTTAACAGTAGACTTTGTTCATTAAGCATGTAGCATATTACCACAGTATGTTCTGATACATTCTTATGGACTCATATATATATATATATGTATATGTGCACACACACATATATGTATATATTTGGCCCACAAGGGAGTCCTTTAATAGATCGCACAGACAAGAGACACAACAGGCCAGCGCCCTGCTTACAGGCCCAGGCGCCTGTAAGCAGATCAACCTACCCCTGGACCCAGCAATACCACTCTTGGGAATATACCCAAGAGATGCCCTTTCATATGACAAAAGCATTTGTTCAACTATGTTCATAGCAGTATTATTTGTAATAGCCAGAACCTGGAAACAACCTAGATGTCCTTCAATGGAAGAATGGATGAAGAAAGTGTGGAATATATACACATTAAAGTACTACGCTGCGGTAAAAAACAATGACTTCTCTAATTTTGCATGCAAATGGATGGAAATAGAAAACACTATCCTGAGTGAGGTAAGCCAGACCCAAAAAGATGAACATGGGATGTATTCACTCATATTTGGATTCTAGCCATAAATAAAGGTCACGGAGTCTATAATTGGTGATCCTAAAGAAGCTAAATAAGAAGGTGAACCCAAAGAAAAACATATAGTTTTCCTCCTGGCTACGGGAAGTAGACAAAATTGCCGGGGAAAAATATTGGGATCTTGGGGGTGGGGTGGGATGGGGGTAAGGGGAGATGGGGAGAGAAACGTGAGAAGGGGACGATGGGTGGAACTTGGGGAAACAGGATGATTGGGATAAAGCAGGGAAGCACAAATCTTAGTTAAGGGAACCACCTTAGGTTTGGCAAGAGACTTGAACCTAGAGGGGCTCCCAGGAGCCCAAGGCGATGTCCCCAGTTAGTTCCTTGGGCTGCTGAGGATAGGGAACCTGAAATGACCCTATCCTATAGCAATACTGACGAATATCTTGCATATCATCATAGAATCTTCATCTGGTGATGGATGGAGATAGAGACAGAGACCCACACTGGAGCACCGGACTGAGCTCCCAAGGTCCCAATGAGGAGCAGAAGGAGGGAGAACATGAGCAAGAAGTCAGGACCATGAGGGGTGCACCCACCCACTGAGACAGTTGGGCTGATCTATTGGTAGCTCACCAAGGCCAGCTGGACTGTGACTGAAAAAGCATGGGATAAAACCGGACTCTCTGAACATGACGAACAATGAGGGCTGATGAGAAGCCAAGGACAATGGCACGGGGTTTTGATCCTATTTCATGTTCTGGCTTTGTGGGAGCCAAGCCAGTTTGGATATTCACCTTCCTAGACATGGACGAAGGGGGAAGGACCTTTGACTTTCCACAGGGCAGGGAACCCTGACTGCTCTTTGGATTGGAGAGGGAGGGAGAGTGGAGTGATGGGAGGGGGTAAAGGGTGGGAGGAGGGGGAGGGAAATGGGAGGCTGGGAGGAGGCAGAAACTTTTTTTTCCTTTTTCTCAATAAAATTTTTTTTTTAAAAAAAAATAAAATGCTGAGTTTCTCCCTTGCTGAGTTCAAGTGGTCTGCTCAGCAGTGAGATCTTCGCTGCCCTGGCCTGTTGTACTCAACCAAGGTAAAGCAGCAGTGAGGGAAGGAAAGCTGAACTCCAATGGAGATCAAAATCTTATGAAGCTTCTCATAACCTCTACCTTGGTTTTACTGGCAAGGTTCACAAAGATGTCGGGGCTTCCAATTAGATTAACAAATAGAAGCTGAGAATGAAGCACAAGTGAAAGAAATTTTATTTCAAGATACAGTTGTTTGTGACTTTAAAATTCTGAGAGAACTGCAAGTAGTTTCAGCATCATTTAATGGAAGCAGTAGAGTTCAAAATGATTCAACACTAGACATTGATCATTAAGCATGTAGCATATTACAACAGTATGTTCTGGTAGATTCTTATGGACTCATATATTCTGATATGAAAAGCAAATACTGAGCTTTTCACAATTCCCATAAGGATGTTAGGAACCATCTTTTTACTTAAAATAAGTAACAAAGAGCTATGTATGAAGGATGTGGGGATAGGCAAAGAAGGACGCCTAGTACATATGAATGGAACCTTTGAAGTTCGGGTTTCACTCTGCTGACTTATTTCACTGTCACAACGAGACAGTAGACTGCATTAGAACCTGATGTAGCACAGAGAGACCATGTACATGCACAACAAAACCACAGATTATGGTTTGAAAAAAAATTCTGTTCCTTGTGCCTGATTCTTTCTGTCCTTTGTACAGAGTTTTTATTTGTTTGTCTCTCCTCCCTGACCATTTAAAAATGCTTTACACTGATGCTGAACTCTTTTGCCATCACATTTGATCTTTCTGACAATTTGATAGTCTCTATTGTTTGGATAATTTACTTATGTTTCCCAGTGTAATACGTGTAATGGATTTATCATCAATTGTTGTCCCCAAAGCTTTACTATCAACTGCTTCTTCTCTTACTCAGAAGCAGCTGCATGTGTATAAACACGTGTTTCTAGATATTTGACACAGTAAATAGCTCTCTTCACTGTCTGTGATCTAACATGTACTATTAAAAGCAAGGAATGGCATTCACCCTTGAGAGATTATTCATGAGAAAAATTCTGTAATCATGCTAAAATTTAAAAAAATACTTAAGTTAAATTATTAAAACACAGTAAAAGTCCTATAAGATACTTCAAAAACATTTCCTCCCATATTATTTGTTGTCAAGATAGTTATTTGAGATATAATAATCATGGATTTGTGGGAAAAGTCATTGTTTAATAAACACTCCCAGGGTACAATATTATAAATTCTCTGAGGAAACTCATAGGTAAAATCTTTGAATGTGAGAATTGTTTTCACATGTTAAAACTCATCTAATTTATGTTTTTGGATACATGACACACCATAACGTAAGTATATTCAAAACAACACTGACACAATTAAGGTCACAGACTCATGATTTTTAGTTCACTTTTAGAGAATGCAAATTATTTTCAGTTTTTAAAGATAGCCTAGTGATTTGACACAGACTGAAAATAACTGAATGTTTAACTCTTAAATATTAGAAATGTTTTACTTTTGACTTTAAAATGCATGCTAAATTTAAAAACAAGCACACAAAGGAGAAGAACTACTGTGGGAAACCCAACCAAATTAACACTCTGTACTCCCTCCTGTAGTGACCAACTTTGGAATTAGAAATAAAGAAAAAAATATGAAGGTGACTATGACAGTCCCTCTCTCTCTACCTTCATGAGAATCCTCAGTACAAATGATGAGAAAATTATGAATGGGCAGAGTGATTCCCACTGGATGTCTCTAAAGGAACTCATCAAAAAATTTAAAAAATTTAAAAGAAACATTCCTGAAATAGTTCAAAAACATAAATATGATACTCATTTGAAGAAGATACCATATCATATAACAACAGAAAGAAAAGAGCTAAGGATAATTTCCTCTAACTTTAAAAGCAATGGAGTTCACATGTGGGGGAAATGGAGACACATTTGTGATCCATTGTCTGCCAGGCTGCACAGAGCATCTAGACAACAGGACCCAGTCATACACATGCCCCACATTTCCCCATTTCCAGGACCCTTCCCACTCACCTCATTGAGCTTAAGTGAAAAAAAAAAGAATTTGATAAATATAACAAATGTGTCTTTATGATAAATGAGGTGGCTTATTCTATAATAATAATATGGAAAAATAATGATAAAGGCCTCTGTGGGATTTCCAGTAGAACAGAAGCACTAATATGCTTTGTATGCATATAACATCATAAATCAAATATATTGATCTAGAAATTCAACTTAGACATTTACTTAAGTCTAGTACACCAAAGGTCTGTGATTCCCATACTTGAAATACTAGTCATGTGACTTTACAAACAGCATGTGATTCTATTGGAAATCCCATATCTGGACAACTGGATTCCCTGGCTATTCTGCCTAAGATATTCTTATTTAAATATTTCAGAGTTCTGTGTAAGTTAACATTTTAAGTTTAAGTTATGTTTATGAGTGGTTATCTTTTTAAACCCACATGCTTTTTTACAAGCCATACCCTTCGTAGCTATCCAAATAGCTGTGTTTTCTGAGGCCTCTGTTTACCTAATTTTTACATTATAGACTATAAATGTCCTTCTCCATTCACTGAATCTTGTCTGACCATTGCTCTGTCTGCTGTTGTCTCTATTCTAGTAATCAGCAGTGGGTAAATTGTACTGAATCACTGAAGTAAGGGAGACCTGAACTCTCACCCTCCTTCGAAGCCCTAACTAGTCACCAAGTTCTATTTTTACCATGTTCTCTTTCTACAGAGAACAGGCTCATTTAATGATGTTAGGATTCACACAATAGCATTTTACCTATTTTATTGTACCGAGGAAACTGGTAAAGACCATCAGATACCTTATTATTTCACGTGGATGTTAGACCATGTTAGAAAGTGAGTCATTGCAGATTGTATGTAGGGAGGACATTGTCACAGTGCAAAATCTGAAGTATAATTTAGACTTTGTTTGACTGCCACCTAATGTCCCATTGGCAGGATGGTCTTATTTGTTTCTCTTGTCTTTTAAAATTCTAACAGTGATTTGCTCCTACCCTGAGCTTTTCTTACCTTGGATTTTCTTTCCATTTCTGTCTCTATGGTCATCTAGTTTCCTTGCAGCTTTCTATGTAGTAGCGCTCTGTGAACTTTAACCTCAATCATTTATTCAAACATTTACTATTGCTTGTTTGTTTAAACTTTTAAACACATGAAGTTTAAAACAAGCTGATATTTATGTGAAATCACAAATAATTTCAAGAAAATCAAAATTTGCATTTATATAGAATATAATCACATTACATAGAAACAATATACCAAGGAACTAAAATATCCATCAAAATCTGAAAGAATTTGACGTTGTCTACTTCTTTAATATATTATCTCTTGACATACAGTCAAGAATTATTATTGCTTACTTCAATCCTACTAGAAATATTTATTCAAAATAGCTGATGTTTGAATAATTGTGACCATAACAATAATGCATAAACGATTCAGTTTACAACCAATATATGATGACTATAAAGTTCAAATCTAGATACAATGTTTCTAAATTTATAAGAACTGTCAAGCTAAGTATTGACTAAACTTTGAAAAGTCCTTGAAGTATGTCAGTCTATGTAATAAGTTCTTCAATGTATGAAGATTGGTAGAGAGAAGTAATTTGAGCTATACTAAGATATTTTGTGAAATATATTCATCACATGGTTTTTTGCTGCTTTCTAAGATTTGACTATGTATTAAAGGACTTCCCACATTCCTGACATCTCTAAGATTTCTCACCACTATGAATTCTGTCATGAGTTTGAAGAGTTGAGACCTTGGCAAAGGATTTGCCACATGCTTGACATCTCTAAAGCTTCTTACCAGTATGAAATCTTTGATGAGTTTGAAGAGTTAAGAAATTGGAAAAGGACATGCCACATGCTTGACATTTGTAAGGTTTCTCACCAGTATGGATTCTCTGGTGATCTTGAAGATTTCTGTGAAAGAAAAAGACCTTGCATCATTATTGACATTTATAAGGTTTCTCACCAGTTTGGATTCTGTGATGAGTATGAAGAATTGCGACCTAGGTAAAAGACTTGCCACATTCTTGACATCTGTAAAGTTTCTCACTAGTATGGATTCTCTGGTGAGCTTTAAGATTTGCATGATGGGTAAATGACTTGCCACAATTTTTGCATTTGTATGCCTTTTCTTTGGGATTAAGTCTCTTGTTCCTAGTGAGGCATGTACATCTTTTAAAGCACTTTCCACATTACTTATAGGTGTTTTGTCTCGCATCATTTTGATTCTTTATATAATGCTTTTTGTTTCTGGTCATGCTGGAAAAATAAGAATTCTGTATTATAATCAAAAGTCTCCTTAAACTTATCATTTATGTATTGGCTCTTAGGGAATCAGCCTTCTTTTTGTTTATAAACACTAAGTAAAAACATACTGTCATTTAGGGTTTTGGGAACCTGTCCCTTCAAGATGAGAATTCTCATAACTATTTGTTGTAGGAGGTCATTTGTTCATTTCCTAGAAGCCCAGATTCCCAAAATAGTCACACAAAACTATATTAATTAAATCACTGCTTGGCCTATTAGCTCTAGCTTTTTATTGCTAGCTCTTACACATTAATTTAATCTATTTCTATGAATCTGTGTATTGCCATGTGACTGTGATTTACCAGGTGACATTCCAGTGTCTATTTATGGCATGGCTATATGGCATCTCTGCTCTCCCTTTGTTTTACCAGCAGTCAGTTTAATTTCCCTGCCTACCTCTATTCTTTTGCTGTATTACAGGCCAAGACAGTTTCTTGATTAATCAATGGTATTCAGAACATATAGAAGGAAATTCCACATCATTTCCCCTGTTCTGTTTAAATAAAAAGGAAGGTTTTAACTTTAACATAGTAAAATTATATATAATAACACAGTTATTAAGCAAGAATTACAGTTACAATATTTATATATACTTTATCTGTTACCATAACTATGGAAAACTGTAATTATAACTATGTATTATTCAACTCCATCAATGACTCCAGAAGGATATAATATTATGTAAGTAAACAGTAAGTGCATTGTAAGCAACTTCCAAAACTCCAGAATGGACAAAAACATTTTGCTGCCTGGTCAGTCTCCCAAGTTCTTCTGTAACACTGGAGTGTCCATCTTCAGCCTAAAGGCTCATAGTATCCAGAAGACTTTTCCATGAAGCAGGAAATTTCAAAGACAGTTCCACCTATAATGGCAGTTTGTCAGTCACTTTTTTCTGTGTCTTGCAGAATGTATGGCAGACTTTTTCATAAATCAGGAATATCGAAGGACAGCCTCACCTTTAGGCAAGTTCAGCAGTCATTTCTCTGTGGGTCCTGCATGTCCAGTTCATAGAGCACATCATCAAGCAGTCCAGGAAAGAGCCGTTTCTTCCCCAATTGTCTAACAAACTCTATGAGGAGCCTCTTTTCCAAACAACATGTTCTTAGACTCAAATTCTGAAGTCAAGATACCATTTTGTTGATTTATCTTAGCAGCCCCTTAAATATCTCTCTGCAGCCAAAAAATTCAAAGAAAACACTATAGTATACATAATCCAGACTTTCTGTGTATTTTCCATTTTATGTGGCTCATTTTTCTTACTGTATTAGTTTTTTACAAGTTTATTCTGTTTCTTTAAAGACTTTAAATCTTTCTTAACAATTTTCCCCTTTTTATAACTCTCTGTAATCCTTTTCTTCTCTCTCCCAAGCCTACATACATATATTTATCACCACAATTTGTCTTTATTGTTTATCTGCTCCTTAAAATGGTAAGAATTTCTTAAAAATCTAAGCGGCAGCATTGCTAGGGCAAATATGGCCCTGCCTGCTTGGTCTGCACCGTCCAACATGGTGGGAGTCTGTGCAATGGCTCTGAAACTGCTGGATGGGGGCTGTCCTCATCACATCAACTCTGATAACCAGGTGGCCCATGCTGCCACTAAGTAACTTGCAGCACACTATCCACATACCCCATTTAAATGCTCAGTCTCCTGAAAGAGCCAGAGTTTGTGGGGGCAGCTGAGCCCAGAAAGCCAACATTTCAAAAGTGTGCAGCTTTTTTTCTGCTACCACTGAACCTGGAAAACCTCACTTAAAGCAACTATAGCATGCTGCCAGCAGGAAAATAATGCAAATAAACTTGGTTATTTTAGTGCCTAGAATTCCTTTCCACATCCTCTCAGTTTCTGTGTGGATTTAGTTATCACATGTTGGCATACCAATCTGTATTAAGGAGGCCACTTGTGTGTTCCTGGATGCTCAACCCCAAAATAATCACACAGAAACTGTACTATTTTCAATTCCGTTTGACCAGTCGCTTAAACTTATTTCTGGCTAACATATCCTAAATTAACCTATCTCCATTAATCTATTATTCTCCATGAAGCTGTAACTTACAGGGTAAAGTTTCAGCATCTGTCTCTGGTGACTACATGGCTTCTCCTCAACCCCACTTTCTTTCTCTCAGCAGTCAGTTTCACTTTCCTAACCTAGGTCTATTCTGCCAAGCCAATGATCAAAACAGCTTCTTTATTCATTAACAAATAAAAGCAACACATGCATAAGGACCTCCCATACCAACTATTCTTCCTAGAGTTCCTAGAAAAAGTTTTAATAACATCATGATATGTGTAAGGCTTTTCAAACCTAGGAACGCTATGATTTTTTTCAGTCTCATTTGATTGAGAAAAGACTTCTCATGCTCATCTAAACTGAATGACTTGTTACAAATGTAATTAATAGTTGGGAAAACTCTAACAAATGTTTAATTAATAAATATAATCCAGTTTTGGGTTTTTCTAATTTCCCTGTAGAATAAAACATGTTTTAAAATTTTAGTTGTATTTTTTTTATTAAAGAAACTGCTTCTAAAAATGTAAGCGATCTAATGTGATGACTTTCACGATAAGGTAGAGATTCTTGACCCTTTTTGGTAGAACTTTCCAGAGAGGCTGGTGAATACAGATTATTTCAATCATGCCATCATCATTCTCTTTGCTCTCTCCTCCAAATTTTGAGAATATACTTAAATGTAATGTTTTAAAGTCACTACCAGCTTAACCGTCTCTTTCAACCTGAGGAATTGACCCTTGAGCTCCTGACAACCCTCCAGTGTTCCTAGAGATGAAGAACTACTCCCAACCGCGGGCCTTCAGGGCCTTAGTTGTTCTCTTTGCTGACACTCAAATTCGACTTGCTCCCTTTCTTTAAGCTCGTGTTTGGGACGGCGTGGCCAGTGGCCAGCCCCCAGCTCACCAGCAGCTGAAGGACCAGGGTCCTTCAGTTCTTACTCTTTTTCTTTTTTTTTTTTTCATTTTTTTTATTTTTATTGAGATCTTTTTCTTTTTTAATTTCTTTTCTTTTCTCCTTTTGTTGTAACCACTGCTCAGAGAGCCCCCCCCCCCCCAGCCTCCCTGGTTTCTGAGTCATCTGACCAGATCCAGCTAGGCCATAGCACTCCACTCATGGACCAAGGATGCTCACCCACTTGTCATGAGTGTTTGCATCAATCTGCATCTTGCCTAAACAGGGAGACAGTCTCATTGTAGGCTTTGAGGTGCTGCTGCTTAATGGGTTTTCATGGCCTTGACCATGGGGGCAAGCCTTCCAAGCCTATCAATCCGGCCTTCCCACTGGGACCCCTTTTAGCGGCCCTACAACCTTATGCTTTAATGCCTTACTTACAGACCTCCAAAGTCATCTGTCTTTGTTCACAAATATGTCCCCAATATAATTTAGAGGGAAATTGTAAATGGCCACCTAATGGCACCTTTGATCCCGACATTTTATGGGAATTATCAAATTATTGCCAGCACACAGGCAAATGGAAAGAAATCTTATATATCCAGGCTTTTTTCTATGTAAGCTCTAAGGTTGACCCCTCTGTCCTTGCTCACTGTTCACCTGTACACATGTTTCTAGCTATGTCATCTGCTCTTGAAGAAGCTCCACTTCTGCTATGGACCCAGCTATTGAACCTCCACCTTTCTGGGCTCGGGAAACTACCCCTCCCGCCTCTTCCCAACTGCTCAGTCTCTAAAAGCCTCACCAAATTCCTCTCCTTCCCTCC